TTAATTCTGCCCTTCTGTACTTACTAATTATTAGAATATTATTAATATTCTGACCTCAATATTCTTCCATATTCCCTTAATTGGTAACTGAAATACATTATGTCAAGCCCACTACATTGGATTGTATCCAAATTTTGCAACATGGTTCTCCACATTCCCAGGCACTCGCTTAAAAATCTTATCTGACATCCCTTTTAGAAAAGAACAAGAATAAAACAATCAAAATTTGAATGGGCTTGGTTTGCACACATTCACATTCAGAGAATGTCAAAATTCAACATTTGGGTTGACTTCATTTTTATTATTTGAATTATGGAAATAAATGTTGACAACAGGTAGCTATCCCTATTTGCTTTTTCTGAATGAGTGACATTAATATGCCCCTGTGTTTTGTAATACTGGCATATTAGTACTTTGACAGAAGCATGGTGGCTGGAGATGATCTTTCCTCCAGCAGTTCAAGTCCTAGCACTGTGTGGCTGGGTGAGCTCATGTCACTCGCCCCAGCTTCTGCTTTCTCTTTGAAAGCATGTTCTATGAGTGTAGATAAATAGGTACCACTTTGGTGGGGAGATGAGTTGGTGCTCTGTACAGGCAGATTCCTGCCAGCTCTAAACCTTCCTGACTGGGTACCCATTTACGGCTCGGGATAAGGAAGGGGGCCTTGGGTGACACTACAGGAAGAGCTACTTGTCTTTCTTTCTCATGCAAAGCCAGCTTGTTCTCCTCTAGCTGACCTTGGGAAGTGTGCAAGAGCTGGAAAATGGCACCCAAATTACTACTCTGCAATAGCATTGTCGTCTCCTGGCTAAGGTAACAATGCCATACGCTACTACTACTAACGATAGTATTGTGATAAGTAAAAACCTAAATGTCCTATTAAATTTAGTTGCCATGGGTGCACCACAAACTCAATATTTGCTATTAAATATATGAATAATCAAGCATTTCAAATATTGATTGTTACATACCAATGCACAAAACATTTAATGCTACTCTGCAAAATGTAATTGGCAAAGAATACAATTTCCCAGTCTAACTACACATAGTTAGGCTTCTGAAATAGGCTTCTGTACAGTCTTCCCACTGGAGTTAAGCATGTGGAGAGCTTTCATATATACTCAGTTTAGATTCAGAAGGGAGAACTGGCATTCAGTCTCCTTTCTTTATCTATTTATCAAAGGTCTGATTGGCTGGGAGCTTAGTTATTTCCCCCCCCCCCCCAAAAAAAAGATTTTGCAGCATCTGTGATGCTGAACAATAATATTTCTCTTTTAGAAACTTTAAAATGGTTGGCTACATTGGGTAGTAATTGGTAAAATCCCCATTGATGGGGCATGAGGAAATCTGATATAATTTAATCCAGGATTATCCTTCTACAAGTGGGTTTTAATCACATCAATCTGTATGCATATCATTCCTAAAGGAAAAACATGAAGCAAAATGTCAAGGCAATAATTTTATATGCAAACAGAAAGTGGAGAAACGGACATATAGAACTGGGAAAAAGGTACTGGTAGGTTGTATCAGATAGTCCTCAATTTACAGTCACAATAGAGTCCAAAATTTCTATTGCTAAGTGAGACATTTATTAAGTGAATTTTGCCTCATTTTATGACCTTTTCCCACAGTTGTTAAGTGAATCACTGCAGTTGTTAAGTTATTAACATGGTTGTTTAGTGAATCTGGCTTCCCCATTGACTTTGCTTGTTAGGGGGTCGCAAAAGATGATCACATGCAGGGGTGGGTTCTAAATTTTTTTACTACCGGTTCTGTGGGCGTGGCTTATTTTGTGGGTGTGGCTTGGAGGTCATGTGACTAGGTGGGCATGGTTAGCTGGTCAGAGTCATTTCTGGAAGGTCCTCGCACTTACGACCAGTCCTCGCACTTACGACCCGACTCATTTGTTTGCTTTTAACACTGATCAGCTGTAGGATGGCCCTTTGAAGCCCCGTGGCAAGAGTTTAAACAGTTTTTTTCCCTCTAGTCATCAGCTGGGACTCAGGAGGCAGGAATAGATTGGGGGTGGGACCAAATAAAAGGTAAGAATAACGTGGGGGGGTGGCAGGGTGTGAGGGCGGGGTGGGGAGAACCGGTTCTGAGACGTTATATCGTCACCGCTACCGGCTCGGCCGAACCGGACCAAACTGGGAGGAACCCACCACTGATCACATGACCCCAGGATACTGCAACACATCATAAATATGAGTTGGTTGCCAAGTGTCTGAATTTTGATCACATGACCATGGAGATCCCACAATGGTCGCAATTATGAAAAATGGCCATAGCTCACTCAGTGCAGTTGTAACTTCAAATGGTCACTAAGTGAACGGTTGTAAGTCGAGGACTTCCTGTACAAATCAGCCCTTATTCAATTCAAAGCAAAGAATCAAAGAAAATATAATTCAATTCAATTTGTGTGTCAAGAATTAAGAACAAGCTGATTCAATTTAACTCTCTTCAAGGTTTGAAATTTGATCAGGACAAAAATAATCATCCATAAACCGTAATATGGAAGTCCCCAAACGCCTGCAGCCACTTCATGTCTTAGCAGAATGAGATGAAAAGAATATTGCTCGCAGGCTTCAGTAAGTTGCCTTCAATGGTTTCATCACAGTATAATTTTGAAATATTCTGCCTGCACCTCTCCTAAAGCAGAAATAGGGATAACAAAGAGATGGCATCGAATCAATGAACAAAAAGCTTTACTGTGACTCGAGCCATTTAAGCATTTTAAAAAGGAAGTGCTACACTTATTTTTCTGGTGTATCAAGAATGCCCATTGAATTGCTCTTGTGGAAAATTTGGCTTTTCTGCTTCTGATTGGCAAACTTCTTTCCTAGGAAGATCCCTCTCAGCTCTAATTTTGGTGGGGGCCTGGCTGGTCAGAATATATTGACAAAGTTTGCTTTCTGGATAAGGCTAGATGTGACTGAGTTGTGGTTTGCAAGTAATGCCATCAATACAGAGGTGGGTTTCAGCAGGTTCTGACCAGTTCTGGAGAACCGGTAGCAGAAATTTTGAGTAGTTCGGAGAACCGGTAGTAAAAATTCTGACTGGCCCTGCCCCCATCTATTCTCTGCCTCCCAAGTCCCAGCTGATCAGAAGGAAATGGGAATTTTGCAGTAACCTTCCCCTGGAGTGGGGAGGGAATGGAGATTTTACAGTAACCTTCCCCTGCCATGCCCACAAAGCCACACCCACAGAACCGGTAGTAAAAAATTTTGAAACCCACCACTGCATCAATACTTCATATTAGTTAGCTAGTAGCAGAAGGAGCAAAATGTCATGGTTCAGAGTAAGTTTTGAGAGTTGACACAAAACTTGGGTGACGCAATTCAATACAATTTGACAGAGATAGACAGGACACAGATTGATATCTTCTTAGCCTGGCTACCACCACTACATTTCTTTAACACTATGAAAATTTATGTCATCACTTTGGCATACATGAACTTGCACATCAGTTGCTCAGCCTTGAATGCAGTCTCCAAATGTTAGGGACTGAATTGAACTTCCAGTTTTGTAGGCAGGACCAATGGAGAAATGCAGCCCTCCATCAACACAGAGTGAAAACATGTTAAAGAAGGAATCACCAAGGAATACATATGCCATATTATTATTATTATTATTATTATTATTATTATTATTATTATTATTATTAATATTTCTATGCCGCTCACTCTCCAAGGACTCTGGGCGGCTTACACCAAAGACAGTATACTAAATAGCATACCCAACAATGAGGACCTAACAATCTGGGTCCTCATTTTACCCACCTTGGAAGGATGGAAGGCTGAGTCAACCTTGAGCCGGTGAGATTTGATCTGCTGATCTGCTGAACTAGCATTCAGCTGAAGTAGCTGCAGTACTGCACCCTAACCACTGCGCCACCTCGGCTCTTCACTATAAGAATGGATGCTCTCTAAGGGTGTGAACTTCAATCCTGCAAACTTCCCCAGCTAATATAGCCATTGCTGAACATTGTGGAGAGCTCATATCTACATAGCTGGATGGACTGGAGAAATCTTATGCAAGGTATTTTAGACCAATAGACAGTGGTGGGATTCAGTTGGTTCAGGTGAATCAGAAGTTAAATTGTTGGCTCGCCCCTCCTCTCCCTCCCCGCCCCTTCCATGAGTCCCCAAGCACCCCAATTTGGCTCCCAGGTAAATGCAGAGAGGCCTCCTAAGCACAAAACAGGGCATGTGTGTACGTGTGCGTGTGCGCGCGGCATGGCCCCCCCTGTGGCCCATTTTTGCTCCCAGGAGGCTGCAGGGAGGCCTACTGGGCCCAAAATGGGATGCAGCGGGGGAAGTATGTCCCCCCTGCAGCCTGTTTTTGCTTCCAGAGGGGTGCAGGAGGCCGAGTGCTGCCTGTCACACACCCCTGGCCACCCCCCCCACCATGGCCACCCCCACCCAGCTGGTCATTAGGGCAGAGAACTGGTTGTTAAATTATTTGAATTCCACCACTATCAATAGACCAGCATTTGTGTGTTAAATGGCACTGATGGATGGTATCAGGTTATCCATATAGAATTGATTCTTTATGGGGTACCATTTATATAGATGAGTTATTACTAAGACATTTTCTACACCACCACATACTTAATTTTTTTTTTTGAACACGTGTAGCAATATAATAAGTTTGGGATCTGCACATGAATAATGTTTCTCTATGCTGAAACCCCTAACAAAATGTTTGAGTGGCCTCCATAGGTTAATTGTAATCTGTGCTCTTGCCCAAGGCTTTTCTAAAGGAAGAAAAAAAATGTTGAATTTGTTTCCCCAATTCAGTCATGTCTGCTTCATTTGCCATGTGAAACCTCTGGCATGAATGTTTATAAATTATATTGTGATAAGCCTTAATAGCTCTTTAAATCTGATTTAAAACGGAATAAAACCTCGCATTTAATAACATTGTGCCCTGGGGAAAATAAATAATTTTTGAGACAAGAACCTATTACAGTAATCTGACTGAAACAATTAGGCTTGAATAGAGCAAGTAAATCTTTAATTTTCAAGACAAAAAGAAAGATATGCAATGTATTTTTAGAAGTAATTTATATCTTTCTATGGAGGATTTATAACTGGGCATCTTTTCCGTTCAGTAAGGTGGCAGCTCTGAGAAGGCTTTGACTGATCTCAGATTCCTGGGCCATTGTTTAAGATGAAAGCTGGAAAAAAAAATATTGAGAGAAGGAAATAGCGAACCAGCATTCTATTGTTGCAAACAACAGCAACAGCAGTGGATTTATTGAGCTTACCCTATTACAGAAAAGGAGGTTTTGTATTTTTGGACAAATATGTGTAATGAATTCTACAAGAAACTTGTAGCTCTGAGCCTTTTTTTTAAAAAAAAAACATCAACAAAGAGGAAAGGTCAAAAATATGATATTGGATCTAGATTGAATTCATTATTTAAAAACAATGCATTGGAATAATGCATGTAAATATAGTAAATAAAATATACTATTTTTCAGGTATTTTAGAAAAGTAGCAGAATTCTTTTAAAATTTTCAAAATTTGAATTGAATTGTACCAATGTACTGTCACTTTTTCTCCCCTCCCCATATCTTCTGTAGTTTTTTCTTTACTGTTCTATTTTTTCATTCCCTCATTCAAAGCAAAAAGGATGCAATTTGCTCCCTTCCACATCCAGGAGCCCACAGGTAGTCACTTTCACAACAAGCCATTTTGTGTTAAATTTATATTTACTGACAAAGAAATAAAGGGAGACTAGTATAGATCTAGTCCCAGAAGGGTATGGCTAGCTGATGAGAGCTAAATAGCTTGAAATAGATCTATACTAGTTTCCCTTTACTTCTTTGTCAGTAAACACACACTAACACACACACACACACACACACACACACACACACACACACACAGAGGAAAGTAGCAATTTTACTATTTATTTAATTCTACTTTAACTTAATATAGCAGGTCAAATGGTGGGTTTCTATTTTGCTAGCTAAGTTTTTATGGTAGATAAAATTTGGGTCTGTTTTGATTTTACTACCATTCATAACAGTATATATAAGAAATATTCTTTATAAAAATATGAAAGTCCTTGGCCCAGAATTGAAAAATTTTCAAGGAGAAATTTGTGTTGAATGTGGAATGGAAGAAGAAAAATACCCTGTTGCCTCTTTGAGAACTCTTTCTGCTTTGCTGTATCAATATTCTTCTTGATGAAACAAGAAAAAATGTTTTCCCTTCTTTGGATAAATATTATCTCGGTCTTGTGAAGGAATATACTTACAGCCACTGGCATAGATGTGGTTCCATTTTGTCTCTTTTTAACAACACACCCAGGCCGAAACTCACATTCAAAAATTAGACTATTTATACTTTGAAGTGTATTCTGTTTCAGTATAAGAAAATACAGTATTGCAGACTTTGGCATGACTTGCAGGTCTGCTAAAGATTCAGCTCTTACAGTGAAAATTGCTCACAGCGTAATTGGTAAGAGTTGGTCTAAATGATTTATTCTAAAATAACATTTTGACATGTTATGTCCACAGTCACACTTACTTCCTGGTACTGATTGGTGAGATTGTGGCAGAATGTTTTTCCGTCATTCAGTCTCTAATCTTGCTCCTGGCAATGGCAGTGCTTGTTTTGCATATTGCCTACGGAGCTGATGGATGAATGTTGAGACAGTTGAGATATAGAGGAATATCAGGCATCTAAATCTCACTAGCCCAGGATTATCCATTACACAAATTGTTATTTTTAAATTCTACCCAGTTTAAAACAATCTAACATTTAACATGGTTGACTATCAATTCCATGTGCCCCAGCTGAAAGATGATCTATATTTAATAGTGGTAAGAATATTTTACTGTACATGTTACTTTTAAAAAATTGTAATGATTACCTATTTTATAATAAAATTACGGTATATATTATAGCCTCAGAGGATACACTAGTCCTCTGAGGATATCTTAGATTTTCTCAAGATCAGTGGTATATAGTAAATTATATTGATAAAATTAAGTTCTGCATCTACATCTGCAAATCATATTGTTGCGTGTATAAAACAATACTTTATTTACACCAACAGTTTCTAATCTGGAACATAATTTATATCCAAAATTTTAAAGCAAAACAGAAATGTCCCTATTATAGAAAAGGTTTATTTATAAAATTTAAGACTGTGATGATTATAGAAATTCACCTGGAAAAAATGTGATATTTGACATTTTATTATTCACTGTAACACTAGCGTGCGCATGATTGATCTTAAGCCTTAAGGGTAGAATATAGCTATGTATTAATAAGATAAGAAATAACCAAACTTTTAAGGAAGTCACTTTCAGGATCAACAATAAAAGAACAGAATGATTCATTTCCAGAAGTGATATTATTTTGGTAATGTACTATTATAATTATGCCTGTAAACATGACATGATTCCATAGAAAGATAAATGTTTCAATTTATTTTGATGCATTTATAGCAATTTAACATAAATTTGAAACCACTGCTTTCCCTTCCATCCAATCAAGCATGAAGTATGGCAAATAATATTGCTGCTGAAAAATATCAAATAGGAAAGGTCTATATATTTTTATATGGCGTAACCTTTTATCTCAAATTTGTTATGGTTTCTGGGCAATAAAGATAGCTTTTATAGAGAAAATGGTAGAACTCACATTAAGATTGATATGAGATTACCTTAGAAGGAGAAAGAAAGTGTCAATATTCTGTTCAGAAAAATAAGAAATCTGTGTCTTCAAACTGAAGTCCAGTCAACATCTAGGAACAATTAGAAATTGTTAGATTTCCAGACTTGAAATTCTAAACCAAACTCCACAGGAATTGCAGCTCTTATCACAAAATCCACATTCCTGACTTCAAAATCCTGAAATGCCAATGTGCCTGGGAAAAATCTATGGAGAAATAATGAGTATTAGGCTCCTAGGCAGATACCTGCTGCTTGAAAAATCCTTAATTCTGTTGCAAGTTCTTGGAGGAATGCTCAGACAAAATGATGAATGAATTTATAGAGTTCAGTCAGTAATAAGATTCCCATAAATTGTCACTTTTTGTCCAAGGTTCTATGGAATCTATATCTGCCTACCCTTGCCTTCTAAAATGTCTGTAAATAATTTAAAAAGCCTATCTATATGTCATGAGAATATATTGTTTTAGAAGTTGGAAATAGAAAAAAAAATAGGAACCATTTTTATGATTTTCGTAAAAACTATAGTTGGGAAGGGATAAACTTGCTATTACTTAAAATAGGTCTATCACTAACATTCTTCAAGTTCTTGAGCGGGTATATGAAATCTGCCACTTGGGATAACTTTGCCAATATCATTGTGAGCTGTCCATGGTACTGATCTTTCATTTACATTCTATGAAAGGGACTTTGTAGAAGAGACAGAAGCAACTGTTGTATGCAATGTGTATGGGTAACAACATCTTTTTGATATTACAAAGAGAGTACGTTTTGGGGTTCTGGGTATATAGCATCCATACTTTTATTAATGTATGTACTGAAATGGCACAAGGTATATAAAGTCTCCACAAGAATGACTTTAAGGATGGCAAAGGCATTCAAAGAAATATTATATTTGTATATGTTAATTTGAGAACAGACTTCTGTTTCTCTCTTTAAAAGCAGGGAACATATCCACATCTACATCTATTTATATCTATATCTACATCCCTCCCTCCCTCCTCCCCCCTCTCTCTCTCTGTCTCTGTCTCTCTCTCTCTCTCTCTGTGTGTGTGTGTGTGTGTGTGTGTGTGTGTGTGTGTGTGTGTTTTTCTATCAAAGCATCTGGTCTAATCCAAATTCAAATCCGAGTAAGGGTATGGCTACTGTAACTGATGAGAGCTAAATAGCTTGAAATAGATCTATACTAGTCTCCCTTTATTTCTTTATCAGCAAATATAAATTATATATATATATATATATATATATATATGTATATATATACAGTATGTATGTATGTATGATCTATTTCAAGCTATTTAGCTCTCATCAGCTAGCCATACCCTTATTTGGATTCGAACTTGGGCTGACTGCATGTTAGGCAGTTGTATTAACCTCTGAGCCACAAGTTCTCCTCCCTTCATCTATCTAATGATCAGAGAATCATGAATAAAGTTTCTGAACTAAGGTTCTTCTTTTCCTGTTAATCAGTTAGAAAAATAGTCAATATTACTGGAATTTCAAAGAGGCATAAATCTCTTTTAAACATGACATTGAAAATTGGACATGATATTACCTTTGTTGCTCTTGTTAGGTCTGGCTTCATCCCAGTTCTGAAGCTGACTCTAGAAAGGGCATGTCTATGACTTGAGGTTCTCCTAAATTGCAGCAGATGAAGCCTAGGTTCTTTTCTTGTCCCTACTGCTTAGAGAGACAAGTGAGCATTTTTTAACCTTGCTTTGGCTGGTCTGCCAATTGCAATCCTACTCAGTCCAGAAAAGCTTTACAAAAGGGACTCATGCTTTTGTTATGTCACAATTATATTATTTATTTAAATTTATTATAACCCACCACCACCACTTTTGAAGACTTTGGATAGTTTACAATAACTGAATATATAATTAAGATCAGTTAAAAAAAACCACATGAAACAAGACATTGCAGCCCCAATTAAAAACAACCATATCAATAAAAACATAAAAGTGCTCCAGAGGCACATTGAAGAACATGCTTTAGTTGGACTGACCTTGGAAATTATTTAAACGATGCAGTTGGTGCAAGATGGTGCAATAATGAGACTGCTTAGAGGGACAAGTGAGCTTTGTAGCATTACACTAGCACTTTGGACATTGCATTGGCTGCTGATAAGCTTCTGGGTCCAATTCGAGAAAGTGGTTTTATCTCACTTACTAGACTATTTCTGCACCACGTTTAAGCTCATGATGTTCATTTACCCTGAGAAGAAGATACTGAGGCTTTGTATTTTTCATGAGATGGAAGGTTTAGAGCTTGGTGATGTCCCAATTTGGTCATAGTTTCCAAATTATGGAACATCTACCTAAGGTACTGGGAGACCACACCTCATTTACCTTTTAAGAGATCATTAAAAGAATTTAGTTGGAGCTGGACTGTTGTCAAAACATTTTTCTGACAGTTGTTCTGATTATGTATTGTTTGTTTTAAATGATTTTTGTAGTACAAAGTGTGCCAAGTCTGTGCCAAGGAATGTGGGTGGTGTATAAATCTTTCTATGTATGTATGTGTCAGTAAATCTATAATCCTCCAATGTCATTTGCAGTTACTCCTAGTAAAACCCATTGCATTGAACTTATTTGGCATAAAGTTATAGATTGTGCTGACAAATGGATTAAAACTCCAATAGACTCGCTATTAAAATATCTTGATAGCTGATCCCTTGTCCTTTTGCTTTAAACCCTGCCACTCTATGTGCTATAGGAAAGTGGGGGAAAAAGAAGGCAGTCAAACCAGAAACTAATATAAGAAAGAGAAATAGAAAGAGAACATATAGTAAGCCACTTACTTGTTTCACCCTTCTTTACCATTTTACAGGTTAAACCTCTTCCCCCCTCCTTACCTTGCTTCCTATGTTTCTTGTTTACTGTGTTCTAGGCTAATCAATCAATATCAATCAGAATAGAGGTGGAAAGGATATTGGAGGTCTTCTAGTCCAACCCCCTGCTCAAGCAGGAGACCCTAGACCATTTCAGATAGGTAGCTATCCAGTCTTTTCTTAAAAACCTACAGTGATGAAACACCCACAACCTCTGAAGGCAAGCTGTTCCACTGGTTAATGATTCTCCCTGTTAGGAAGTTTTTCTTAATTCCAGGTTGCTTCTTTTGATTGTTTGTTTGTTTGTTTTATTAAATTTATATACCACCCTACTCCCGAAGGACTCAGGGCGGTGAACAGGCACAGAATAAAATACATAAATACAAAAGTTAGAAACAATTTAAAACCAAATTAAATAATTTAGCCCAAGACAATTAAAAATCCCAGTAATTTAAAACAAATTAAAATTTCAGTTTAAAAAATTTAAAAGAAAGGGGAGAAAATTAGGCCAGGCCGGCTTGCTGGAACAGGAGGGTCTTAAGAGCACGGCAGAAAGTGCGCAGATCCGGGATCCTCCATATCTCCGGGGGGAGCTCGTTCCAGATAGTGGGTGCCCCCACAGAGAAGGCGCTCCCCCTGGGGGCTGCCAGTCGACACTGCTTGGCTGACGGCACCCGGAGGAGCCCCTCTCTATGAGAGCATACCGGCCGGTGGGAGGTTGATTAGTTTCCATCCATTGTTTCTTGTCTTGCCTTCTGGTGCCTTGGATAAAAAGTTGATCCCCATTTCTTTGTGGCAGTCCGCAAATTCTGGAAAACTGCTATCATGTCGTCTCTAGGCCTACTTTTCTCTAGACTGGCCATAACCAGTTCCTGCACTTTTTCCAAAGTCTCAACATCTTTTTTTGTAAGGTAGTGATGAAAACTGGATGCAGTATTCCAGGTATGGTCTTACTAAGGACTTATAAAGCAGTACTAATGCTTCACATGCTATTGATTCTGTACCTTTGTTTATACAACCTGTTGTGGCCTGCCAGCGACCTGCACGGATTGTTGCTGATCCCGACGACGAGGAGCCTGGTGTGGTGCTGCGCCAGCAGCCTGTGCAGCCAGCGCTTGAATCGAACAGCGAGGAGGCTGAAAAAGATGTGGTGCCAGAGGCAGGGATTCAGTCAGGGCCTTCAGAACCTCCAGAGGCTCCTTTAAGTGAAGAGGATGAAGAGGAGGAGCCTCTTCTCAATGCACGGGCACGCAGAGCTGCCAAAAGGCAGGAGTGGTTCCTCAGGAGGAGGTCTCCTTGAGAGTAAGGCTTGGGGCTAATTGGCCACGCCCTTAGCCTATTTAAGAAAGAACGCAGCCTGTAACAAGCTGCAGGAAACAACTTTAGTTCGCTAATCATCGCGTTGGGATGTCTCTGCAACCTTGCTTCTGGGCTTTCTGCCAACTCCAGTAAGACTCTGACTATCTTATCTGTGGAATTCTGGCAGGCTGTTAAGAATGCTTATTAACAGCCGGCATTTGCTAAAACTGTGTTATTTGAGTAAACTAAGTTTTGTTCAGAGTTTGTGTGTGCTGTGTTCTTTGGGATCCGTAGCTGGCGTAGAACACAATCAAGGATTGTATTAGCTTTGTTTGGCTGCTGCCGCATACTGCTTGTTCATATTTAAGTGATTATCCACTAGGACTCCAAGGTCCCTTTCACAGTTACTGTTTTTGAGCCAGGTTTTGCCTAATCTGTACTTGTACCTTTGGTTTTTTCTTGCCTAGGTATAAAACTTTGCTTTTTTCCACATTAAATTTCATGTTGTTGTATAGGGCCCATTGTTCAAGTCTTGTTAGGGATTGGAGGGGGGGGAGAATGTTAATACTGGTATTTCTTATTACATACTGTATATCATTATCCATTTGTAATCCTGTATGCCTAGGCTTCTTGACCTGAACAAAAATCAAGGATAGATGCCTTAATATTTTCACCTTCCATTTTTGTTGTTGTTGTTAGTTGCGAAGGTGTCTGACCCATCGCAACTGCATGGACAATGTTCCTCCAGGCCTTCCTGTCCTCTACCATTCTCTGGAGTCCTTGTGATTTAATTAAAGTGAAAGATGCCAGGGAGGTTGCAAACTACTGAAGACCAGGTTATAGAAACTAGATTGCACACATCCTATAACAGTGATGGCTAACCTTTTTGCCGTTGTGTGCCAAATCGGGGTGTGCGTGCAGGGGGGGTCACGTGCACGCGTGCCCACACCCATAATTTAATGTGCTCCGCATATGCGCTTGCAACTCCTCCGCACTCCCCCCGCACTCCCCCCGCTTTTGACACGTAGTGGCACGTTGGGCCCGGTAGGCCCATTTTTTGCCCTCCCCAGGTTTCAGAGACTTTCTTGGGGGCTGGGACTGGAAACAGGCCATTTCCGGCCTCCGGAGGGCCTGTGGGGGGGGGGGGAGACTGTTTTCACCCTCCCCAGGCTCCTAGAAAGCCTCTGGAGCCTGGGGAGAGTGAAAAATGGGCCTTCTCCCCCATCCAGAGGCCCTCCAGAGACTGCAAATGGCCCGTTTCCTGACTTCCGGTGGGCCTGGAAGGCCTGAAAATCAGCTGGTGCACCGGAGCTGACCTAGGGCAACGCTCGCGTGCCCACTGATATGGCTTCGCATGCCCCCTGTGGCACGCGTGCCATAGGTTCGCCATCACGGTCCTCTAACATTCTTATCTCCTAACCAAATCATGAACTTTGTGGTATAACCATAAGAATGTTACCATTATTTTCCTCTGAAAATTGTTTTGAAAAGAACTCCTTTCCTGTTAAAGTGGAAGACAATGGTTTAAAATTGCAGAAGAAACATTAAGTATAGCATTCTAGATTAATCCTTCCTGCATTGCTTAAGCACACATACCATAGCAAATGCCATGTTTATTTTCAATTGTTATTTCTTTTATACAGGAGTTGCTGCAAAGACTGTTCCCTACTGAGATTAATTTACATATAATAGTGTCAAAAAATAAACCTGATTAGCTCTTTTTTAAAAATGAAGTTCTTATTGGTGCTTTCAGGTATAAACGAGCAAGAGAATACACAGCATTGTTCCCAATTTGCAATTCATTAAATAAGTCTCTGAAAATGTTTTGTCATGACCTTGGGCTGTGTAAAAGCGGCAAAGATTAATCTCTTAGACAAGAGGGGAAAGACCTAAATATGTTCAGTTAGGCTTAGCCAAAATGATTTAAAGCTCCCTTAATGTCCTTGAACAAGTTACTTAACCTCTACACCTGCAAACTAACAAACATGCACTTACAGAGTTCTCAAATACTTTAAAATATATATATTTCATGCTTAGATAAGACTCATGACTTGATAGTTTTTCCTAGAATAATAAAACATGAGCCCATCCTTATAGCTTCCTTATTTTCATCCAATCTACACTTGAAGAAAAGCGCTCTCTCTCTCTCTCTCTCTCTCTCTCTCTCTCTCTCTCTCTCTCTCTCTCTCTCTCTATCTCTATCTATGCCTACACAAGGATTCCATTATAACATTCAAGAACATATTAAGCAGAACACATCCCAACACTGAAAACTAAAAATTTCATCTTTCCCACATTTTGTGGACTTGTTAGCTGTACTTGGGCTGGTTAATTTCAGTGGGGTATCTTATAAAGTCCTGATATTCTGCCTCATCAAGGCAGAATATCAGGACTCTGTGTGTGTGTGCATGTGTGTGTGTGTGTGTGCGTGTGCGTGTGTGTGTGTGTGTTCCTGGGAGGGACAAGACAAGAATGCTTAGAATTATGCTAAGAATATATATTCACAGCAGGCTTAATGGCCATCTCAACTCTCTGGCTAAAACATGTAGGAAGATATGTTGGGTAATCATGATACAG